TGTTGCTGACCGTGTCCTTTGCACCCTCCCAGCTGCCCCTGCTCCTTCGGGCCAGGCTTGTCCGACGGACCTGGATGGTTGGGCCCAAATCCATGAAGACTCTTAATGTCTCTCCCCTCTTGCTGGCCGAAGTGAAGCACCTAGACCCGTGTGTCAGTTTTTAGCTGATGTCAGGTAGCGATTACAGAAGGTAATAAAGCAGTAAGGTTCCAGTTTTCTTCCAGATTTACCTCACAGATGTTTGTAAAAAAAGTACTAAGTTTGTCTGCTAGAGGTGGTTTTTCTGTCAAGTGGTGTGAATCCAGGTTATCCCTCTTGAACTGCACAGCTGACAGTTCCTCAGGGTTTACCTCCTGTCCTTGTTTTCCCTGCTCTGTGCTTACCAACAAGTGGGTATCCTGGTTTAGTTAATGTTGATAATATGGGTTGAGAGCTCTGAGGTGGGAAGAGTGAGATATTGTTGTTTCATGCCTTGGAGCATATGAAGTCTGTTTGACCAGGAGCTTTTGGTGCTGTTTTGCTGTTGGGATTTCTGCTCTTCTAAGGTTGTTACACCCCAGTTCCTGCGAGATGGATTGACTGGGAATTCTCATGCTTTATACCATGATACCTCATGATAGTATGTATAAGCTCTTCTTAATGCATGTATTTACCTATTGAAATGGGCTTTGTTATGTCAATCCTCTTTCAATCCACTATTTCTACAGCATGGGGTGGTCTTTATTCCTTGTTGGTCATAAGTGACAGTTGAAATGATTGCTCCATCCCATGTTTTCAGATGAGGGATTGAAAACAAACACATATCCAGTTGTGCAATGGGAGGTGAGCACTACTTATTCATTTGAGCTAACCTTCTTGCCCTACTTAACAGCTGAAATCAATGGTACTTGTAACTTCTGTGGGAAAGGGTAGGAGGAGGCTGGTAGCTTTCAAGTGGGCAGTAGCCATGAGGTAGGTGAGTAGGCTGGAAACAAACCTCTTGGCTGGAGTGTCTGCAGTATTTCCATCTTCAAGATTTTTCCCTGTGGTTTTGTTTGAATATCTTTTGAATGTCACAGCTCTTTCTGACTGCATCTTGTGGATACCTCTCCTTAGAATGGTCTGTGTGACTAGTGCATATTTTGTGATCTCTTATTTCTCAACAAGCTTTGATTTTAAAACAGGAAACTGTTTCTGTTGCTGTGTAGCAGGCTCAACAAGCTTTGATTTTAAAACAGGAAACTATTGCTGTTGCTGTGTAGCAGAAGGCCAGTTTCTCTGGTGTCATAGTGATGGGAAACTATTATCTGCGGGTTAGAACTTTAACTTCTCTGACTTGTGGAGAAGGGTGAGTTGGATGGACTTTGCCGTTCTGTGAGAGCAAAGAGCACGGCCTTGAAGCTGTTGCAACACCGAGCTTTCTGAGAGACAAGGCTCAGAATTAGCCTCTGTGTTTCCCCTTGTCTGGGCAGTGTGTTCTCATTGAATGGCCATGGTGTAACTTCTAACTGAATCTGTTGCAGTTAGAGACTGTTAATGGTGACTATGAAAAGCAGAAGTCATTGTCTCAGGGGCAACTTTCAGCTACTGTTTTTCATGGGGTTTGTTAGGTACTGCTGTTCATTCTCTTTCATCTCAGCTGTACATTTGTAGAGAAGAAGTCTTCTGGATATAGTGGCTGGGCAGGTTCAAGCATCTCCTGTGGGAAAACTGTCTCCCAGCACTTACAAGCCAGGAGAAAGGCAAAGCTCCTATGAAATCTGCACTTTCCACCACTACTGGAGAAGTCAGAGGTGGCAATTCTTGATGCCGTGTCTTATTTTTCTTTTTCTCTTTCCTAGGGAAATTTTAGCAGGCCTTTTTTTTTCTGCAGGATGTGTTATCATCTTGTGACAATCCCTGTGACCTTTTTTTCCTCTCTGCCTTTTTGGAAGCACAGAGTGGCTGGCAGGGGAGAGCTTGGCTGTCACCTGAAGGCAGAACGCAGTCTGAGGGCTGCGAGACAAACATCTTGGCAGGGCACGTGGCTGTGGATTCCTGTATAGCCCTGGAGCTGAGGATGTGAGAGATACTGTGTCTGTTCAGGCACCTGAATATTAAGTTGTGGTATTTTTTCCAATGCTGTGTGATCCTTCTCTCCTATCAGTCTTTCCAAGTCATCAGTTTTGCTGAAAGGGCTGCCTGGGCTGCCCTCCCCAGGAGGTATGTTGTGGTGGCACAGAGCAGTGCTGCAGTGGTACTTGTCACTGAGACCCTGTTTGAGAGAGGGCATGAAGTGCAGCGTGTCATGCATCTGAGCTGAGGAAGCTGGAGTTAGCACAGAAGCAGCAGCTCTGAGGAGGTCTCCTGTGATCCCCTCAGCAGCATATTCTCCCTCTCTGACAACCTTGAAGGGTTTTTCTCAGCAGCCTGTTTTCTCAGCTCTGATTTGCACCCTGGGCTTTCTGCCCCCTGCCAGCCTGAGGAGCACAGAACTCAGCTCTGGTCTGTGTTACAGCATGAAGTGCTACACTGATAATGTTCACATTCCCAGTTACCTCAGTTTCCTTTTTAAATATCTTCTTTGGAGAGCTTCTACAAGAGATTACCATAAAGGCTCAAACAACATGGATTTTCTCTTTCCTACCATCTTTCATGCCTTTTCATCTGTATATTGTGTGATTATAGCACCTGATTCTACTGCTGGATCTACACAAGCAACCATCAATATTCCTGTTTCACCTGAGAAAATTCACCAGAGAGAACAGTTCAATATATCTGGCCTTAACAGCAGGGACAGAACTTTTAGTAACCTCAGAAGAAAATGTGCAGCATCCCTGAAATTCATGTTACAACAGTATTAAATAATTCTTTCCTAAAAGGTGTCCCAGAGTCTTTTTGGAAAAAATTGAAATGTTAACTCTAAATTGGAAGATGACTTTTTTTGTGAAATGCTGTTTGGCTAGGAATTGGAAAATAGGTCTGGTGTACAGAGGCATAACCCACAAAATGGAAACCTCTGGTCTTTAACTGAATTGCTTTTCCTTTGAGGGCTTAAACTATTTTAGTTAGGAAAACATTTTTAGTATGGGCATAAATGCACTCCTGTCAAAGTAACCCATTATAGCTAAATTTATGGAGATTTCAAACACTTTTCAGAAGTGTCCTAATTTATTTTAATTGAATGCTTCCCATGAGTTTTAAAAGACTGGGGAAAAAAAAATCAAGCAGTTACTTTTTCTATTTTCTGTGGAAAGTTATTAACCTTCATGTTAGGGCCTGTGTCAGTTTTGTATCACATGATGATCAGTATTATCTTACTCTGTAGGGACAGGAGGTTTGGAAGAGCTTTGGTCTTGAATGTCTACAGAGCTGAGGACATAGTTGTCTGTTCCACTGGCTTCAAACAC